CAAGTACTTCCAAAGTAATGAAATACAATCATTGGGGGGTCAGGGATTTGGAAAAGGCAGAAAACTATTTTTCATGAAAGTAAAAGGAGATTTCAGAAGGTCCTTAGCAAAGGCTCTACGAAGTGAAGGCCATTTCCCTTGGCCACTTTGTACCACGAAGGCTTTAGATGGCACTTGCATGCCTGGATTTTGTTTAGGAGCGGAAAGATAACATCATGCACCACTGGTTGAGGAGGAGGGCAAGAATCAAGCCGAAAAATCCCGAGAAGCAACTCTGTCGGCAGCAGGGAAAACCTCTTCCTTTACTCTCGGGTGCTGGACACCCCAGGAGGAGGGCTCTTCATGCAAGCCGAGTACGGCTTCCAGGTGGAAAGGAAAGAGAACGGTCGGGAGTTCAGTGCCTGGTTTCAATGTCCCGTATCCAACCATGGAGAGGTGTCCCAAATAACCCGGCTACCGCCAGACTGAGACAACCAGAGCCAGCAAAGCCCTAAAACACTCATGGAAGTAAAAACCGCCGAGCCCCAGAACTGCACTAAGTGGGAGAGCTTCCGGAAGAAGCCAAGCTCTGATGATAGTCTCAAGCTTCCTTGCCCAATTCCCCGCTTTCGTTTACCTACCCACTCCGACTCCTGCTTCTCGACAGACCTCAGGATCCTGGATGCGACTCACGACTGACTCTCACACCCGCCGCGGGGCTCCGGCCAACCGGAACTCGCTCGCGTCACTTCCGGTCCGGTTACCCAGCGGAGACCGCCTCCTAAAGAGAAACGTTCCCCACTCCTTTGGGCAACCTCAGCTGATCCTCGCGGTATTTCATTCGACTCTGTGTCCGGACCCCTGCGGGTGTGACGAGAGAAGGATGATTTGATCCTTCTTGGTTCCTGATCCGGAACTAGTTATCCTGAAGCCCCGGAAGAGGTAGTTCGCGCGCGCGAAGTGTGTTAGCTCCGCAGAATTGAACAACAAGAAGGCGCGTGTGTGAAGGAGAGTATTTTAGGTAGGTCGGTTCCTCCTAGGGCAAAGCAAAGGGATGTGGTTCTCCATTCTCTTTTCAGCTGGAACGTTTCATCCCAAGTTACTCCATGACTACCCGCCTACATCTTCGCCTGGTGATCGTTGGATCCCCGAGCCTGTTCAGCAAGTCATCCTTTGGAAGAAAAGGAATCAAGATGCCGGGAAGGGTTAGGGACCGGAATTGCTAGTTTTCCAACAGAGCCACGCGTTTCCGGCAGTATCGATGCACTCTCTTCGAATGAGAGAAAATAGCGAGCAAGCCTTACGCTCTCTGCTATGAATTCACGCGTTTCAGGCTGTGGAAAGAAAAGATTTCTAAGGATATAATCGAAAGTTTTATTCTCCAGTATTATATAATGTCTGGAGAGGTATTTGATCATGCTGTATAAGTTCCCCAGAAGCTTCGAAGGGGAAATAATTAAGTCTGGTTGGGAGATGGTGCTGACTTCACAGTGTGATTTCAGCTGGGCCTTTCCAGGTGAATAGGATATTTTTATTTGCGTGTTTATTTTAAATGGGGAAGACTAGAAAATAATTTCGGGAGAGATTGCCCCTTGAAAGGACCTAAAAATTTGATGTGGCTGGATGGTACAACATATAGCTGCAGTTGTTAAAGGAAAAAGTCGACTGTTACCAGAATTGTGTAGTACTTAGAGTTGGTGCTAAGGAATTTGTTTTATTCTCTATGCGGTTAGCTGATGTTTTTTGAGAATGTTTTAGAAGTGTATTTATAATGGTATATGGGCTAGGATGAACTAGGGTAAGAGCCAAGAAAAGCTAAGTTTGGAAGCCTTTGACAAGAGATAATTAGGAACTGTAAGTAGAAATCCTGGAATGGGTTTAAAACATAAGTTTAACAGGATTCGGTGACTGGATGTTGGAGGACCATAGAAGGAGGAAAAGTGCAGGATACTCAAATCAAGACTACAGGAAAAGAAAGTTTGGATGTACAAGGTCTTGGGTTTGCTGCTCAGCACTACCAAAAAAATAAAGAAAAGAATATTTCATAGTCTTTTAAGTGATGAAATCTAGCAGAAATTGGAGGTTCAAATTCAAAGCCAAGGAGACGCTTTAGGAGTCTGTGCATAGGATGATTTGGGAATAAATGAGATTGTTCATCTGACAAGCTTTATTGCCTGTCCTCTCCCACCAGAATGTTAGCTCCATAAGGAGTGGGACCTCCCCCCCCCCCAGTGATCTCCAGGCTTCAGAACAGTTCCTGAAGCATAGTAAATCCTCAGTGAATTTTGATGGATTTTGAATGGAAAGAGAACATATAGACCAGTGCTATTCAAATAGAACTTTTTTTTCAGTGACAGAACGTTCTGTTAACTCACTGTATGTCAGAGTAGTCACTAGCCATCTTCAATTGTTATTAAGCACTTCAAATATGGCTAGTACAACTAAAGAACTGATTTTTAATTTAGTTTTAACTAATTAGTTTCCTTAATCACATTTGGCTAATGGCTTCTATAGTGGACGTTGAAGACATAGACTGAAAAGGCCAAATGTGTAGACTTATGTTACAGTACATATATCAGGAGCAAACAGGATGTAGAGTTCAGAAGGGGACCAAAAAAGCTGTCAGGAAGCTGAGTATGGTGGCTCATGCCTGTAATCCCAGTGACTTGGGAGGCTGAGACAGGAGGATTTCAAGTTTGAAGCCAGCCTGGACAATTTAGGGAGACCCTGTCTCAAAAAATAAAAAGGGCTGGGGCTATAGCTCAGTAGTAGAACACCCTTGGGTTCAATCCTCTATATCATTAAAAAAAAAAAAAAAAAAAGCTGTCTGAGAGGTAAAATGATAATAGAGTGAAAGAATTCAGTGGAGGAAAGTTTTAAGTTTCAGAAGTGACCAATAAGTGGCAGAAAACTTAAGATGAGCCCTGAAAAGAAGCAACTACATTTGACAATTAGGAAGTATCTGGTTCCTACTAATTTTCAGTAGTGGGCAAGAGAGGTTCCCAGGTACAAGGATTTGGAGAAATAGATATTTGAAACTGAAGTTTGGAGATAAAGAGAGGAAAAGTGAGGCAGTGTTTAAAGGTTAAAGAAGATTCAGGAAGGTTTTTTTTTGTTGTTTTTTCGTTTTTAGGTTAGCAAATGCTATTCTGTGAGGTAAGATAAATGGGTGGAACAAGGTTCACTTGATAATGGGAGCAAGAGCACTAGTGGAACATGTTTAGTCAGGCAAGGTAATTAGAAAGCACCAAGAGGAGGTTTTATAGGGCATACTTGGTTTACTGTGCTGTCATTGCTAATGATTATCTGTGAGACTTAAGAATAGTTTCAGGCAGACTGGAGTTGCAGCTCAATGGCAGAGTACTTGCATAGCATGTATGAGGCACTGGGTTCGAACTTTTAAGTAAAAGTTTCACTGACAACTAAAAAATATATTTTAAAAAAAGCGGGGCATGGTGTACACGCATGTAATCCCAGCAGTTTGGGAGGCTGAGGCAAGAAGATCATAAGTCAAAGCCAGCCTCAGCAGAAGCAAGGCACTAAGCAACTCAATGAAACCCTGTCTCTAATAAAAATACAAAATAGGGCTGGGGATGTGGCTTAGTGGCTGAGCGCCCCTGAGTTGAATCCCTGGTACCACCACCACCCCCTCCCCCCCCCAAAAAAAATAATCTCAGGTACTGAGCTTTATTAATGTGTTCATAGTAAGTGTCTGGAAAAAGAGACATTTTATAGGAGGTAGTTGGGTTAAGAGATTAAAACATCTTAATTTTATAATTAGATCCCATTGAGATGTGAGACATAAGCAGTAAACTTGGAAGTTTCTAGGATATTTGCCATTCTGTTTTCACTGTCTCATACTGGTGTGTGTATTTAGATGAAGTTGAGAAGATGAATTTTTTTTTTTTAATTTGTTATAATTAGTTATACATGACAGAAGAATGTGTTTTAACACATTGTACACAAATGGAGCCCAACTTAGAAGCTTTTTATTATGATCAGGCAATGTTGTATAGTTTTGCCCCTGTTGTAGATGCTGTGGATAAGCAACTTCTCTGATCCTCGTTTTTCTCATCTGTAAAATGAAGCTTATATCTTCCTTTATTTTTATGGCAGCAAAAATGAGATAATGGGTTGGGTGCAGTGGCGCACACCACACCTATCATCCCAACCACTGTAGAGACTGAGGCAGGAGGATCACGAGTTTGAGGCCAGCTTCAGTATTTTACCTAAATCTTATTTCAAAATAAGGAAAAAGGACTGAGGATGTAGCTCAGAGGTAGAGAGTCCCTGGGTTTGATCCCCAGTACCAAAAAAACAAACATAAAGGGAAAGCAGAAATAATGGGAAGAGGTTCTATGAAGTTTAATGTGTTTATTTGGGAATGAATATTGCAATTGGAATGTGCATGCTACAGAAAACGATGTGGTGTATTCAAGGAGGTTGAAGCAAGGAAAAACTTTTAGAGGCTAAATGAAGAGAATATATATATTTTTTGTTTTTTTGGTACTGGGAATTGAACCCAGGGCCTTGTGCTCTACCAACTGAGCTATATCCCCAACCCACATATTATTGTTTTGAAACAGAAATTCTTGGCTACAAGGGTAGTATCAGTCCAAGGTTGAACAGGCAGTTACTGAGCAGATGTCTTTGCTGAAGTATTTTTTTTATGCAGGTTTGCTGTTTCAGCACTCTGTGTTTTGGTTCTTATCAGGCATATGTACGTGAGATCTCCCCTTTCATTATGTTCCTGTTATACTTGCTTATTTTCTGAAGTTTTGACCAAAGCAACTTCATTTTGATTCTGACAACTTTCACAAATGTAGAGGTTTTAGTTTGTTATCCATCTTCTGTGTAGAGCAGTTTGCTTCTCCAAATAGGACCCGATTCTGGTATAGGTGATATTTGGTCACTTTGTCAAATAAAGTGCTATTGACCACATCTTTCTTCTGCAAATAGGTTCCTCACTTCATTCTCCTCTTTTTCCTGCTTTCTTGCCTATAGAAGTTGGGTATTATGTTTAAAATATGGAAAACTTCACAGATTTGCATGTCATCCTTGCACAGAGACCATACTAATTTTCTTTGTATTGTTCCATTTTTAGTATGTGTGCTGCCAGAGTGACCACAGGAGTTAGTCACTTTAAACACCGGGTAAGTAGTGTATACCTATAATTCCAGCTAATTGGACAACTGAAGCAAGAGGATCACAAGTTTGAGGCTAGCCTGGACCAACTTAGTGAGACCCTGTCTTAAAATAAAAAAGGACTGGGGATGAAGCTTAGTGGTAGAGTGTTTGCCTAGCATTTATGAGGCCCTGGGTTCCATCCCCAGTACCAACTCCCCTTGCACTTCCTCCCAGCACCCCTCTCCCCCAAAAAAGAAGGTAAATCTAGAAAAGGATATAGAAGATTTTTGGTAGATGTTTCAGAAGCTATCTGAAGAAGATTCTAATGGACTCAGATAGTTGTACATTAAGTAGCAATTTCAGGGAAGTTTTATTCCTCCAGGAGCGGGGTTTGAATTTGAGATTGTACATGGCAGGGTTATCAGGTTGTTTTAATTTTTATATTAAGTGTACCTTGGTCTTACCTCCAGCCTTTAAAAACAAGATATAGCTACAGCAATATAAATGTTATGCTAAATGAAAGAAGCCAAAATAAAGTGCCATACATTGCATAATTTTATTTGTTTTTTTATTTATTTGGTACTGGGGATTGAACCCAGGGGCATTCTGCCATGGAATTATATCCCCAGCCCTTTTATTTTGTATTTTGAGACAAGGTCTCACGAAGTTGCTAAGGCTGACCTCAAACTTGTGATCCTCTTGCTTCTGATTTCTGAATAGTAGAGATTATAGGTATATGCCACCACACCTGGCATAGTATAATATCATTTATATAAAATGTCCAGAATAAGTGAATCCAGAAAGGAGATTGTCAAAGACACAAAGGTTGTCAAGGGCAGAGGGAAATAGGAAGTGACTGCTAATGGGTAAGGGGTTACTTTGGGGGCCACTGAAAATAGTGATAGTAACACAACCTTGTGGATTTATTAAAAACCACTAAATGGTATGATTTCAAAGGGTGAATTTTTTAAATATTTATTTTTAATTTCAGGTAGACACAATATTTTTATTATTTTTTATGTGGTGCTGAGGATTGAACCCAGTGCCTCACTCATGCTAGGCGAGCACTCTACCACTGAGCCACAACCCCAGCCCATAAAAGAGTGAATTTTATGGCATGTGAATTATATCTTTAAAATAATTTGACATTTGCTGTACTATCCTGAAATGAAAATCTTTGGTATACTATATAATCTGCCAGGATTACAGGTATGCACAGTCACTGCTCCCGGCCTGATGGTACAACTCTTTTAATCTTTGCAAGATTAAAAAAAATTTTTTTTTTTAGTTGTAGATAGACACTGTACCTTCATTTTATTTTTACGTGATGCTGTTTGAACTCAGTGCCTCATACGTGCTAGGCAAGTGCTCTACCGCTGAGCTCTACCAAATATTAATGTAATATCCTTACTTTAACCAAATGAAGAATAAAAGGAAGTTTTGTGATATGATAAAATAAGTATTTCAAGGGCTATCCTTGCCATGTAGATTATGCACTACATAATTCCAAGGACACTATTTTCAGGCACTTTGAATGTGGTAACTTGTATATAAATGCTAGGAAAAGAAACTGATGGTTGCTCATACTTATGCACCGTTGCATTATGAACCCAATAGCTTCAAATGTAGTCTGATGTGGGTTATTTTCTTGGTGATTCAAATATGATGTACAGCTTTGCTGGGGTATCTACCTCTACTAATGTCCAATGGTACAACTCTCTTTTTAATAATGGATTGAACCAAGGGGTGATTAACCACTGAGCCACATCCTCAGCTCTTTGAGACAGCTCTTTGCTAAGTTGCTGAGGCTGGCTTTAAACTCATGATCCTCCTGCCTCAGCTTCCTGAGCTGCTGAAATTACAGGTGTGCCTGTGCTCCTAGCTTGATAGTACAACTCTTAACCTTTGCAAGATTTATTTATTTATTTATTTATTTTTAGTTGTAGGTGAACACAGTATCTTTGTTTTATTTTTATGTGGTGCTGATTGAATTCAGTGTCTCATACGTGCTAGGCAAGTGCTCCACCACTGAGCTACAACCCTAGCCCCTTTGCAGAATTTTTAGTATCTTTGCACACACCCAGTAAATATCAGTAGTGCATTTCACCTTAGGCACAGTATTGTGACAATGGGGCACCAAGGGATTGGTATTACAAAGACACAAATAAGCGCTGCTTCCTAGAAAAGGGGTTAGTTCTGTATGGTTTCTTTTGGGTATATTGGTAAAACATTTCTTTTCTCCATCAGATTTAGGGAAACTGAATTAACAAGAGTTTTTGAACCAGAAAATAGTGTTCATATCAGGCCTTAACTGTTTCACTTATATGCTTGAATCTTTTTTTTTTTTTTTTAAAGAAAGAGAGAAATTTTTTTTTTAATATTTATTTTTTAGTTTTCGGCGGACACAGCATCTTTGTTTGTATGTGGTGCTGAGGATCGAACCTGGGCCGCACGCATTCCAGGCAAGCGCACTACCACTTGAGCCACATCTCCAGCCCCTGAATCTTTTCTAATACACAGGGGATGAGTGGAAACAGGGTATATGCACAAGATTCAAGATATATTTTTGACTTTCTACTTGATGACCTCATGATTCTAAAATATTGTTTGCTGCTCATAGCCAAGGGGTTTATCTAATAAGCATGTAACTTTCTTCTTTTAGATAGTGATAACTTCTTTTCTTTCTCTTAAGATGTTCTCTAAACCTTTGGTTATGGAATACTTGGCTCATCCTGGTATACTAAGCCTGGCTGCTGGAGTTGCTTGTGGCATCTGCCTTGGCTGGGGCCTCCGAGTACGCTTTGGGATGCTCTCTGAAAACTCAACGAGTCAGACACACACAGATACCGGAACTGAAGCAAGCATCTTGGGAGAGACTGGGGAATACAAAATGATTCTTGTGGTTCGAAATGATTTAAAGATGGGAAAAGGAAAAGTTGCTGCCCAATGCTCTCACGCTGCTGTTTCTGCCTACAAGCAAATTCAAAGGAGAAACCCTGAGATGCTCAAAGAGTGGGAATACTGTGGCCAGCCCAAAGTGGTAGTCAAAGCCCCTGATGAAAAAACCCTGATTGAATTATTGACCCATGCAAAAATGCTGGGACTGACTGTAAGTTTAATCCAAGATGCTGGACGTACTCAGATTGAACCAGGTTCCCGAACTGTCCTGGGGATTGGGCCAGGACCAGCAGACTTAATTGACAAAGTTACTGGTCACCTTAAACTTTACTAGATGGGCTTTTGCATGATGATGATGATGATCCTATCAAGAGTTTTAGAAGCCTGTCAAATTCTAAAATTAAAAGCTCAATTTCTTTCCCCAATTTAAATATTGAGATGAAAATAAAATTTGTTCTTGTGTTTTTCTGCTAAGTAGTGGGCTTAAAAAATACTGTTGGTTTAAATGGTCTTGATAATTCAAGTAGTAAGTGCTAAAAAACAAAAAAATTGGAGAGAAATGGGTCACAATGAAGTTAGATTAAAAGAGGGTAACACATGGTGATTTGGGAGGCTGAGGCAGAAGGATCACTAGTTCAAGGCCAGCCTTGACAACTTAGACATTATCTCAAAATAGATGAGGGGGCTGGGGTTGGTATAGTGCTTGCCTTGCATGCCCAAGGTCCTAGGTTAGATCCCCAACCCCCACCCCTTCCACAAAATATATGGATAAGATTTACCTATGTGGGAGAGGGAGGGTAGTGGGTGTGAGGGAAGGGCAATAGCATTACCCTATGAATAGTTAGATTTCTTTGTATCTTGATAGCACTTCTCTGAAACTATGCTGGGTAGTTCAGTTCCACTGAATTCAAATTGCATTCCCCTGCTATTACTTTTTGGATGACTGACAGCCTGTTTTAGTTCTATATTATGATATAGCCACCCATAATAGAGTCTCACAGTTGGAAAAAAATCTAAATTATTAGAATCTATGAGAAGCTTTGTGGTACTTGGGATTGAATCCAGGATCTCACGAATGCTAAGCAAGTGCTCTACCACTGAGCTACTACTCAGCCCATCTGGACTTTTGTGTTTCAATTGAAGCAGAAATTTTATAGCATTGATATAACCAACCTGTGCTGTGTTACATGCTCCACCCCCCCACCCCCAATGCACACTATATTAGCCAAAGTTTCTCAGCAGTAGTCGTAAAATTACTCTCCCATCCCTTTCTCCAAACAGTGAAGCCATTGTAACTTGTGAAGTGGACTCATGGAACAAAGAAAATGTAGTTTGTTACCCCAATGTTTCTTCTAGAACTTAAGGATCTAGACAACTAGTTATTAAGGGCACATTTCTCCTACTCCCTTTTTCAACCTTATACCTAAACCATAATTCTAGTAATTACCATCATACCGGCTGCCCAAAATACGAAGTTCTCAACTCTCCAAAGCCACTCCCTCCCACCATTTTTCCCCAAAGCCCAGGAGGATTCTACCATTAATTTCTAAATTCAGTATATCCATAAAAATTATAATGCCAGGGAGAATTCTGGTAACAAGCCCATGTTAAGTTGTTCCCTCTCCACTGTTAACTAACATTAACAGCATGACCGCACACCTTTAAGATCATTGGTAGAATGTGGGCAGAACTCTTCTTTTTGAGATGCAGTCTTACTACATTGCCTGGGCTGTCCTCAAATTCCTAGGTTCAGATGGTCCTCCTGCCTCAGCTTCCCCAGCAGCTGGGGCTAGAAATGTGCACTACAGCTCCTAGCCTCTGGGCAGAACTCCACTATTACATCCAGTTTTCAAAGTTCTAATACTTGGTGTGTTTAAGTCACCATATGACAGCACAGGAGAAACTGCAACTGAATTATGCCACAATAGCAACTGTTTCTAAACAGAATGTTTATTCCAGAGTCAAAAGTGATGCAACAACATGTAATGGAGTTGAACTCAATCCTTAAATGCAGGATTCTGACTCTGGCTATTTCTGAGGCTTGCCTCAGACTCTGCTTCAAATTGAAAGCAGTGCATTCCCAACAGGATGCCCTGTGGAGGT